CAGGCTTGCCCTCCACCCCGGTCGTGGGGGTCGGAGAGTAGTACGCACCGACCCTGCCTAATTAAAGTTTTGCTTTTTTTTGTTGGGATGGACATTGGAAAAAGCTAACATATAACGAAATTGAAATTAATTAGGGCTAGCTTGTATTTTTTTTATTTTTATTTTTTTATCAGTATCAGATTATAGAAATGACAAGAGAAGCCAGTGCGGGTGAGAAATAATGTACCGATGACAGAAGTTTTATTTCGGTGCGTGGGAACTTGGGTTGTGACAATTATTTTACAATCGATTTTATCAACAACAAAAAGGAAATGTTAACATTTTCTTTTTTAAAGACGTTAACATTTCATTAGTTTTTACTCATACTAAGTTTCGAAAAAAAAAAAAAAAACAAACAAAAAAAAAAAACACTATAAAACTCAAGGCCCTATCTCCTCATTATGTCTCACTTTCCTAGCGGGTCATGTTATCATTAAAATTTCCTCAGGATGTGGGCTATTATATCTTTTGTTTCTTGAAGAAACTTTTTTGACGCTACACACTTCTCTTTGTTCTGCTAACCAGGACCGGCGCGTACTATCTCCCGAACCCAACGACCGGCAGGACGCAACCATGTTTTGTAGCCCCGAGCAGTGCTTTGTGACCCTCGATAGCTTATCAACATTTTGTTTTTTTTTTTACTTATACGTTACAAATTAAACTAAGGACAACTGACTAGTGTGGGATAAAAAAATTTTCGCTGATTTTGAACGTCATTCTGGGGCCTTTTTGTCCAAATTTGTGAATTTTTGTTTCTTCATAAGTCTGGAAAAACCACTAAAATTTACCGTTTTTTTTTTATCCATAATGTTGAATGTGTTAAAATTCTTCAAATTTTTAACGAGAAAAATCTCAGGTTGATATTAAAAATTGCCGTAAAACATTGTTAGATGGAATGAGCTATGAGCTGTCAGTGTTGTTTTTGTTTTAAAATTCATTTGGCGTAATTTAGATGACAATTTATCCATCGCACCTGTACTTTTTATTCAAAAAAGTTAATAGAGTTAACTTAAATATTATTAGTTCTAAAGTTTTTGTGTGTAAATTGGCGTAGAAATATATATTCTTTCATTTATTTCTTTGTTGAACGAAAGAAACCAGGTCATTGTTCAATTTTTCATTTTAACCTTTTTAGTCGTAAATATGGTGTCAAACATTGGCTCTAAAAGTTTTCTATCTTTTCTAGTGCAATGAAAAAAAAACAACTTTATGTGGTGAACGCCCAAGAGAAAATAAATGTTTAATTAATTGTTTATCTAATTTTGTTCCCCCCCCTCCCCCGAAAAAATAAAAATAAAAAATTTTAAAAATAATTAACTGCAGCAAGATCGTGAAGAAAAATGGTTTGGAGTTGGACTAAAAAAAAAAAAATCGGAAATAAGATTCTCTACGTGTTGATTCGATTTTTAACGAAAACATATGAATGAATGAATGAAAGATTATTTAAAAAGAATAAAAAAAGAAAGCACTTAATTACGAAGGAGAAAAGAAGAGAAATAGACAAAAAAAAAAAAAATAAAAGAGAAAGAAAGTAGAAACGAAGAAAAAGACCAAGTTGTATTTTTTTGAAAATCATTAATAAATAATTGAACTTAATTTTTTAAATTGATTTTTTTTTAAGAACCTCCGGTTTTTATTCGTTCAAAAATCCTTCACAGGAATTTTGAATTTTGGGTGTTGTCAGTCGTGTAGTTTCATGAAATCAGGTTTGCTTCTCTTTAAGTCCGCTTTTCTTTCCTTTTTTTTTTCACTAAAAATATACTGAAACTGAACGTAATTTAATTTACAAGTGAGTGTGACGAACAGGTTTCGTTTGTTTTATTTATTTAACCCAAATAATTAGTTTGGTGCGTTCTTTAGACATGAGATCACACTGACCTTAAAACCATGCTAAAAGCAAAAAGACATAATTGATCGATAGTTTTTAAGTGCTAACTTTACTAAAGCGGCTTATTCAAAGAATTTTGCAAATATAAACTTTAAGGAATCCTTCTGTAGGGGAGTTAAATAACTATAACATTTCATTTATTTATACAAAAATACTCGTAAATGAGAAACAACAAAAAAGTGCTAATAGCTAATTATTTATTATCTGGTTATGTAGTGCTGGAGACACGAGAGATAGCACAGAGTAAAATTGTGACTTTAGGGTCAAATGATCAAATGGATCGGAATCCGACAGAATGATAACATAAAGAAAGAATAAGTAAATTGTATACAACTACACTTACAGATTTTTCGTATACAGATGTGTTTAATGAGTTTCCAGATAATTTAGTATATTATTTTGTCATTTTTTATAAATTTTTGAGTAAAAAAGATTTCATTTATTATTTACATTATTCGGACTGTTATCCTTCACTGCCATATTCACAATGTTTCGGCCATTGTATGTTCCAGCCTTCTTCAGGTAACTGGAATTTTGAACCAAACCCTTTATTTCATCCACCAGGGTAGATTGTTCTATTTCCATATGCCATGCCTCTTCCAGGTGTCTTGGTGGATGAAATAAAGGGTTTGGCTTGAAACTCCAATCACCTGAAGAAGGCCAGAGTGGACAATGGCTGAAATGTTGCGAATATGGCAATGAAGATTAGGATAACAGTTTGAGTAATGTAAACAATGCAAGTAATCGTAATACCTCATCTCAGCGATATAGACAGATAAAAAAGATTTTTTAAATTTATTACTTTATAAAAAGGAAATAATAAATATCACATTGTACTTGGTTCACATATTTTTATAATCTTGTGAATAAACATTGTCGAGCGAATCAAAAGTGAATACAATAATAGCAGTGTCAAGGGAATAACCATCCTTTTGAAAACACCTTTTTTTTTCTTTTTTTTTTTCTTTGGTGGGTGGAGCACAAAAATAAAACATTGCAAAACTTATTTTTTTTATATTACTATAGATTAAGAGTTTAGAAATAACATAGACAACTTTTAGCTTATAACGCAATCATTAAGGACTGGTATTTCACTGTGTCTTGCAAATGTATTATTAAATTGACAACATACAATGTAAGTTTAATAAAAACAGATAAGTATGTCTTGACAATGCATATATATGCTATTAGCAGGCAGGGTAAGTTTTAATAAAGACAGTGAAGTACATCTTGACAATGTATATATATGTCACCAGCAGGCAGGGTAAGTTTTAATAAAGATAGATAAGTACATCTTGACAATGTATATATATGTCATCAGCAGGGAGGGTAAATTTTATAAAGATGTACACACGTGTACATCAGCAGAAATATTCATATATACTTAATGTGTTTCTGTATTTTTCAACTCCTGCTGAAGAATTTGGCACAGTAAAAACAGATGGATGAATTGTTAAAAACAGCTCTTATTCTTAACCACGTTTAAATTCAATATTTGCCAGGCAAATATTTCTGTAATGATATTTAATTTTTTCCACCCAGAATTAACAAATGCGCTAGTAGAGTAATGGTTAGAGGCTCTTGTGTTGAAGAAACGCAACTGGACATGCTCGGAAACAAATAAGAAATCACACTGATTTGCAGCATATCTTCAAGTCAAAATAGTTCTGATGATGATAGTGTTCTGGAGCAGGAAATGTAGATTTGTTTTTTTTACAGTTTATCAACCCTTTCTGGGTTATTTAAAGCCAAAACATATTTTGAATTGTTAGAATAATTCTTTTGTGAGTGGATATTACATGAAGAATTTTTTAAGAAGTCCTACTATTTAACCCATAGCTGGAGGGAAGAGATGGATTCATGCCTTTCCCAGAGGTTATTTGTTTGTAAGTGAATGTAACAAACTTGACTGGAATTCAAACTCAGCAGCCAGATTCCTTATTTTCATGACAATTTTTTACATGGGATATGGTGTTCTGGATGTGCAGTTGGCATAATGCATAGGGGCTGAGAACGAGAAATCAGTGAATTGAGTTTGAATTCTGATCCTTAAATTCACTTGTGCATAAATAAACTCAGCAGAGACATGAATCCAGCTCTTCTTCCCCCAGCTATGGGTTAAATAGCATGGCAGACTAGACTCTCCATAATTGGAAACCATCTCTGATTTCAAAACTGTGTGTGGTCCTTGTTAGAAACACATTTGAACTGTAACTAAAGTCTGCTCAGAATAGTTGCAGTATAAACCACGGGTCAACTCTGTGGGTGTTGAAGAAACACGAATGGGCCTGAGCAGATGGCTATGCTTGGAAATGAGAAGTCATGCTGAAGATGAAAAATTACATTGATTTACTGTGTACTTCTCAAGTCGAAACAGCTCTGATAATGGTGTTCTGCAGAAAGAAATATTATGTGGAGAAATTGACTGTTCAGGCTGGGAAAGAAGTAATGTTCTTTACCTGGGTTGCCGATAGACTGTTCTAGTCTCAAGGATATGTGTCTCAAGGACACATATACACAGTGGATAAAGGCATTGCTTAGATCCAGTGACGGAACCCAAAGAGTGTGAGTTCAATACCAAGTTAAGGCAGTGGAGAACTTCGAGAGGGGAATTAACAGGAGATAACTGATAACTGACATCCATTAGACATAGCACATGGAACTAGAACAGTCTACCCCAGCGAGCAAAATAAAGGTTCAGTTTGACATTCCAACCACCTGAAAAAGTCTGCAGAATACAATAGCCGAAAAGTTGTAATAAATATGGCGATAAAGATGAGGACAATAGTTTGAATAATGTAAATAGTGTACATAATACCTTGTAGTGCCACGCCTACATTTTCTCCAATTCTAATTGGTCAATAATTAGTGCCACGCCTACAACCTCATCTCAGAAATATAGACAGATACTAATGGTTTTAGTTTTACTAATTAACCCAGAATAGGTGGATTCAGACATTTCCCAAGGTCATTTGTGCATAAATGAATATAACGAACCCAACTGGAACTGGAACTCGGCTCTCCAATTAACAATTCTGAGCCATTATCCATTACACCACCTGCACATCCAAAATTACAGCACCTGGTATTCCCAAGCACTCACCCATCTAGGTACTGACAAGGCTTGACGTTGCTTAACTTCGGTGATTGTGTAGGAACCACTGTTTCAATGTGATATGACCATAAACTGAGTAGAATTAACCAGGGAAAAACAATTTGCATATTTTAGCAGTAGTTAGTTCAATACTCATGAGGTGCTGAAATTTTTGTAGCCTTGTACCAGACTAAGCTCAGCTTAAACATTTTCTTACCTCCCATAGGATGATAAGTAGCCAGTGTTTTTTTTACAGACCGCTGTTAGTGTAACTATTTTGATATTTACAGTTTGCTTCATCATTGCAGCCTTGTGTCAGACTTGGTTAAGCCTAGAAATAAATATTTTACTTTCTTGTTTTTGACTGTTGAAGTACTACATCTCATGACATTCATTTCCGGTCTTTCAGGATGTCCCATGATGCAATGCAACATTTGATTTTTTTAAAGACATCATGGGACAATGTCAAAAATTAGGTCATTATAAAAAATTTCATTCCATAAAAATAAAAAAATAACTTTCACATCTATTTCCTAATTTTAATCTATTCTTGTGATATAAGTAACACCACTTTTAATGAAATCAGTACATATTTTTCTTAAAGTTTTGCAATGCATTTCTACAATAAATATTTAAATATTACACATATAATAGTCCTATTCTACCCATAATGCTTGCATTAATTCCTGACCACTGACAATCTCTTTCTTTCTCATTTGCACTTAAAGAATTTACTGATAATACATATTATGGCCTTATTCCCTCAATAATGCTTGCATTATTTCCTGACCACTGACAATTTATCTTTTCCTACAATTACAATTTCTATAGTAAAATAATTTGCTGTGCACTACTATAATAAAAATCATTTGCCTTTATTTCTTTAGTAAATATCTATTTCTCGTACATTTTTTCTTATTGCCTCTGTAATGCTTTGATTAATTCCTGACCATTGACAATCCTTTTTGTCTTACACTTTCAATTTTATGTTAAAATAATTTTCAATGATTTTTTTTTTTTTTTTACAATAAAAATCATTGGCAATATATGTCTACAGAAATACTTACTAATTGTTGTAACGCAGGGAAGGTTACTGAATCAAATGATCACACAATGGTTGGTAATGAACAATAATACTTAGGACAAGAACAACACATATAAGATTTGCCAGCGGCACGTAGAAGTAGTAATCAACTGCTAGAAGTGAGTCAAGTGAATTTCACAATGAATCTCCAACTGCAGGATATTTACCAAACACCCCATGCAGTCAGATGTGGCACAAGGCCGAATTTAATGTGGGGTATCCAAGCCCATAGGCTCAGCCAAAAATTCCCTGTAGACCCTGTATAAAACAGGCTTGAGTAACTGTTTCCCTGAGACAAGATTTTGTCCTTCAATATAAAAGTAGTCATCTGCTAGAAATGAGTCAAGTGAATTCTGCAATGAATCTCCAACTGCAGACCAATGTACAGTATTTACTACTGTATTTATGTGAATGGGGACACACCCATTATCGTCCGCAAATATGCTACAATACTAATAATAACATCTAATTGTCAGGCTTATGTCCACATCATGAATCACAGGTTCCCATAGGATCACCAAAGTTAAGTAACATCGAGCGTGGTTACTACCTTGATGAGTGACCACTTGGGAGTACCAGGTGCTGCAAGCTTGTATGTGTGGGCCGTTTGATAGATAATGGCTCAGAATTGTTAGTTGGAGATCTGAGTACCAATTCCTGTTGGTTTTATTATATTCACTTACATGCAAATATCCTCCAGAAAGGTATGAATCCACCTCCTCTCCCCTCAGCTATGGATTAATTAGTAAGACTTGTATCACTAAACCATTATTATCTCCAAAAAAATTCTTACAATCTAAAAATATTTTCTGGCTTTAAATAATCTGCAATGGGTTGATAAGCTATAAAAAAATGAATCAGTCAAAAAATACATTAGTCTTATTTTTTTAGTAAGGCTTGCATTAATTGCTGATCTCTGACAATCCCTTTTTAGCAAACATGGACTTTCATGCCTGCAAAAAAAAAACAGTGTCAAAAGGACATTTTTTTCTCTTGACACTACTTTTATTTTAACTACTCCATGATAATGTTTTACTGTTTTAAAAAGCAGTGATTAGAATCTTAATAAAACCTAAACATATGATGAAAGTGAATTTGTACACCATTTTTGTTCTTGAAAATTTACAAGAAAAATATTAAACACTATTAGATTGTTTATTTAAAAAAATGATTTTGTATTTACAACATTCTAAAATCTAATACAATTAGAAATAATGCAATGCAATATTTATCATTTACCAATTTATAAAGAAATAAATATCAAAACATTTTTTTATCCATAAATTTAAAGATTTATTAAAATTAAATTAAAATACTAGTGTACCCATGCTGTCAAAATTAAAAGCAAGAAGGAATGTATTGTAAGTAATATATATTGTAAGTAATTTTTGTTTAATCCAAATACAATTTTGTAATTTAAAATAGTTCATTGTTAACGTTAATAATTGAACAGTGTACAATTTATAATCACCTCAGGAAAGATATCCGTATTTTATCCTCATAAATGTTACATATTTAAAACTAAACTTTTTTTTACTGCAAAAATTCCCAAAGCAAAATAATGTATCGCTGTCCATCCATCTGCTTAGGTTTTTGCAAAATGTCAAAATTCTGAATAATTTAATTCTTACTGTGAATTGTGTTACCCTTAGGAATGGTTCTTTTTGTAGTTCACTGCACCCTCCTTTGCCAATTTGTGTGAAGAGAGAGGGAAAGAAGGGGGTTGCTTTGAAGTTTGGGTTAGCTTTTTGTATGTGGATCTGAATGGGGTCTTTTGCACACTGGGCCTCAATTGTTACACTCATACACACACACACACACACACACATATATATATATATATATATATATATATATATATATATATATATATATATATATATATATATATATATATGTGGCATATTATATTTAAAGATGTAAACCAACTATAAGGAAATCTTTATTATCTACCATTTTATAGATTTCGAATCAATTGGCAATTGGCCATTGTTTTGCTAACCATTCCAATAAACTACATCATAAATAGTGTTTATTATTTTTGTTGTCAATTCTCAGAAACATAAAATGCATAAATTCACTTTCATATGTTTAGGTTTTATTACAATTCTCATCATTACTTTTTAAATCAATAAACATTGCCAAAGATTCATTCTTTGGCAACGTTTATTAAAATAAATGCTGTGTCATAGGAAAACCCATCTTTTTGACATTCTATTTTTTGTGGGCACAAAGTCTGTTTGCCCCATTTTTCTGCACTTGCAATTTCTGTAGTAAATTAACCTCTGAACCATTTCCATGTTAAAATTATTTGTACTGAATCTATAATAAATATTGACCTCTAATACATATTATAGCCTTATTCCCTTAGTAACATTTTCATTAATTCCTGATTATGGACAATCTCTTTTTCCTACACTTAAAGTTTTCATAGTAAAATAATTTGCAATACATTTCTATAATAAATACCATTTAGATGATAAATCTATAGTATTTTTTAGCTTTAACTGCAAGTGTTACTGGCAGAATAGAGATATTATATGTATATTAGATAAACTTTATTCTCGAAATGCATTGCAAAGGAAAAAGAAAAGGGATTGTCAATGGTCAGAAATTAATGCAAGAGTTACTGGAAGAATAGGGCTGTTATATATATATATATATATATAATAGGTAAACATTTACTTTGACAAGAAACAGATTGTCAGTGATCAGGAAATAATATGAACATTACTTATAGAATAGGGTTATTATATGTGCAATAGGTAAACATTTACTATAGAAATATATTGCAAATGAAGGAGGAAGGGATTGTCAGTGGTCAGGAATTAATGCAAATATTACTGACAGAATATGGCTATTATATGTATTATAGATAAACATTTACTATAGATATGCATTGCAAATGGGGAAGAAAGGTATTGTTGATGGTCAGAAATTAATGCAAGTGTTATGTAAAGAATAGGGCTATTATATGTATAATAAATAAACATTTACTATAGATATGCATTCTAAATGAGAAAGAAAGGGATTATCAATGTGTTACTTAAAAGATAATGCTATTATATCTCTAATGTATATTTATTGATTTTAATGATTTTTTCCTCTGTTTTGAATTTTCTGTTCAATTGTCTTTTCTGTTTTATCTGTTTAATTCAGGACATTTAAGAGTAATTGCACTTCCATTGGCAACAAGATTGAACATCAGTTTGAAAAATGGTCAACCAATGTCTGTAAGGAAGGGAAAATGAAATGCATGTACAAGGTAAGACAGAGGATTATACGTTACTGGAGTAAGGCCAGACAGATATTAATGTGATCAAAATGTACTCAGCTAAATGCAACAACCTCTGTTGAATAAGCTTCCCACAACATATTTCTTTCTTTCTCTCAATTCAATTCTCTCTATTACATATATTTCCCTCGAGTCTCCATATTCCATTATTCTATGCATTCCTTATTCTGTGTATTCCCTTTAGTCTTTATATTCATTTATTCAATATATTCCATTATTCCATATATTTCCTTTTTAATCCTTATATTCCATTATATATATATATATATATATATATATATATATATATATATATATATATATATATATATATAATGGAATATAATATATATATCTTCCATTCCTTATATTCCATATATTTCCTTTTATTCATATATTCCATATATTTCATTTTATTCCTTATATTTCATTTTAGTTCCTATATTCACTTATTCGATATATTTTCTTTTAATCCTTATATTTCATTATTCCATATATATATTCTTTTTTATTCCTTATATTCCATATATATTCCTTTTATTTTTTATATTACATTATTCGAGATATATATATATATATATATATATATATATATATATATCTTCCATTCCTTTATTCCATATATTTCCTTTTATTCCTCATATTCCCTTATTCCATATATTTCATTTTAGTTCCTATATTCACTTATTCTATATATTCCATTATTCAATATATTTTCTTTTTAATTCTTATATTTCATTATTCCATATATATATATATATATATATATATATATATATTCTTTTTATTCCTTATATTCCATTATTTGATATATATCTTCCATTCCATTATTCCATATATTTCCTTTTATTCCTCATATTCCCTTATTCCATAAATTTCATTTTAGTTCCTAGTCTATATATTCCCTTATTTCCTTTTAGTCTCTATTCCATTATTCCATTTATACCCCTATTCCATATACTAACCTTTAATCCATATATCCCCTTATTTTATAAATCCTTTCTTCCATTTATCTTACAAACTCATTTCTTAATCTGTACTCTTCGTTACATGTTATTTTGCCAATATATTCCTTGGATTACATTTATTATAAACTTTGATTCTAGCATTGTGAACTCTGTAACCTTTCATGCTCTTGAAGAAAATTGAAGTCTTTCAATCTCATCTTTTCTCAATGATACTACTTACATTAGACCTTTACACACAGTCCTGTGATTCTGTTTGTCCACTTCTAAAGCCCATTTGATGCAAAGTAAGATTAAAGAATATGACAGTTGTGATGACATACTCCACTCATCCATCACTGCACAACCTGATGATGTCTAAGGTCGGTTGTATGCATATACACATGGTTAGTGATGTTCACAGGTTTATCCACTTCGCCATAATGGAATTCACAAAGAATAATGACAAATACTTTTCAGAACTGAAATAGCAACAATACGAATTCTCACTTAGCCATCTAAGAAATAGCAACAATACGAATTCTCACTTAGCCATCTAAGAAATAGCAACAATACGAATTCTCACTTAGCCATCTAAGAAATAGCAACAATACGAATTCTCACTTAGCCATCTAAGAAATAGCAACAATACGAATTCTCACTTAGCCATCTAAGAAATAGCAACAATACGAATTCTCACTTAGCCATGTATGTTTTCCTTCGGCTGAACTGCTATCTCCCTAACTTCCACTACTCACTCACTAGTCATCTACCTACTTACTTGACTGCTGGATTCCTTTCTGCTTGATTTCCTGCTTTTCTCTGCTTATATAGATACTGGCTGGGGCCCGACCACCCCAATCCATCCCTTTGTGTTCCAGAACAAGAGAACACCCATTTGGCTTTTTGGTTAGTCAGTTTCTTCAAAGGACTATTTTATGATTATCAAAAATCAGTGATAAAATTTTATATTTGCCAATTCAAAGGCAGTTGAAGACAGAAATCCAGAAAAACTCTAACACTTAAGTTGACTCAAAGGAAAAGGAATCTATCTACTTATCTCTTAATGATGTGTGAGAAATCATTGTTACACAGTGAAAACATTCTTAATGACAGAAATTAATAATTACGAAAATACTTCAAATCATATACATAGTATTAAATGTAATAATATTTAAATTTCTTATACAAATTATTATTAATTTTTAACTCCCATTTCTTTCATCTTATTTCTTTGACTTTTATAGCACAAGTAGTATTAGATGTAATATTATTGGATAACGATATATAAATTTTTTATATCAAGTACAATTTTAGGGGAAAGACATATGACAAATCGGAAAAAGGTTTTTGTGAGACACATTTCATTCTTTAGGATTTCATCAAACTATGTTTATGTTTACGTTGATGCGACTACACATGCACAATTATGAGAGACACTGGGAATTTTAAATTTAAAAATATTTTTTTATATGTATTTTGGGTACATAATCTAGCCGATTTCATTTAAATTCTTTTTCTTTTTGTTTCTGTCATTTTTGTTATTAAATATCCCACATTACGATCATAAAAGATCTGCCAAGAATGGTGAAACTTTCGAAAAACCTGGACACAAATTTACTGTAGATGATTTAGTGATTAAAGCACTTTCTATACATTTTCCTCTCAGTGAATTGTTTTCTCTTTTAATTAGAGTAGCACTTTTTAAATTGAAATTGTGGTCATGCAACCAACGTATTTGATGTATTATTTTATAAAAGTTCCCTTTTGTGTTCATATAATCTTTTACTTAACTTTCTTGAAGTTTTTCTGATGTATTCCTTGTGGCAATTATTACAGGTAGTAGAGTAAATTCCTCTTTCAAGTTTTACCTTATTATTTTGTTTTGTATTAATTAAGTTATTTTATTGTTTTAGACATCATTGTGGTAAATTTTTTGTTAAGTTTAGATAAATTCTTTTCAATTGTAGTCGTCAGAGTTAGTGGGTAGAACAACATATAAAAAATCATTGGATTTGTCAGAAAGGACCGTTTTTCTATTTTTAAATATTTTATGAGCCTTTTGTTTCACATTGAATATGAAATAATTATGGCATTGGAGGAGCTTAAAAGAGTTTTCAATGTATTTTTCCTCTTCATGTAAATATTGAGGGCTGCAAATTCTGAATGCTCTTAAGTAGAATCTGACGATTATTCAGGATTTTATTTTGTTACTAGCAGGCTTTGACCACTTGCTATCATTTTGTAGTAAGATATATTCACTACTTGAAATCTTTAAATCAAAAATTTTAAATGAACATTTCATTCATAAATTGGCTTGTTATAAGTAAGGAGAGGAGGCACACTGGTGTAATGGATAGCATCTTGGATTGAGGAATCGGAGAGTTGCGTTCAAATTCTATTACATTCACTTACGTGCTAATACCCTTGGGAAAGGTATGAATCCTCTTTTTCTCCCACAAGCTATGGGTAAATAGTAGGACAGACTGGGTTCTATAGCCTTAGATGGTTAGTATGGTTAATTTTGTTTTATGGCATATCAACCTCAATGGGTTATTTTATGCCAAAAAAATTTTTATTGCAGGTAATATTTTGTTTTGTCAAAAATCTGTTTTGGGTTATATTTTTCCTTCAAAATTGCATTGCTGGTATTAATTTTTTTCAAAAACAAATATTGCTGGTAATAGTTAACTATTTGCCCATAGCTGGGACCCTAACAGGTGCTACCACCCTGGGTCTACGTGGACCTGGGAACAACAGCAATTAAGAGGTGGTTCCACACTCCTCAAAACTTCTTGATCCAAGGTCTTACTGCTGGACGTAGTTTATCGTCTTACCAAGGATGCAGATGTAGTTTAACGTCTTACCTAGGATGATCTTAGATGGCAACTGGTCTACTGCAGAAAGAAATGGCAACCTACTGCAGGAAAAAATCTGCCTCGTCAGTCATGTATCAAAAGATATATGATCGCCTAAGTGTGTATCATGCATGGCACATAACTCACTGACAGCTAAGGAATGTTTTACAAATAGATGCCAACTTGTTGAAGGCCAAGTAAAATGCAAATTTCAAACACTTTTCTGGAGTATATAAGATAATATTCCTAAAGAGAACTATTCTTGATATGCAAATTAAAACAATCCTTGAATAAAGAATACTAATGAAGGACAGTTAAATGAAATATACTTTTTTAAAATCAATATGCAAATTAGTTAAACCTGAAGAGTGATGTCACCTAGAAGTAGATAATATATAATACAGATATTGAGTTTTTACCATATAAATTGCTATAGAGTTGGGGCTTTTAACCCCAGAATTCATTGGATAATTGTGCTTCAATTTCACATTTATTCATACAGATTCCATAATATAGGTTTTACTTAATTAGCTATTAAGTTTCTCAATCCTTCAAATGTTAAATGTAAAATTAATTCTAATTTCTATTTTCCCATCTTTACACTATATTAATTTTATCCTATAAATTGTCCCCTGTTCTGTTACCCATGAAATAAAAATAATTGTTTGTATGGAAAATAAGGATCTACATACATCAAATTGTCTTTAAATTATTTGGCAGCAGAAGAATTATCGTTGAACTTTTAAAAGGTAAGCTTAAACATTAATTCAATATTTAAATGCAGCAATCAATTTTGAGTTCTTCTGTAGTTTATTGAAACTTATCGCATCTACTTCTCCCTACCAATTGTGACGATTGCCAAACCAAGAGTCCTTCACAAGAGCTAGCTTAAATGCCGCCCAATAGATTTTAAGCTAGTTTATAATAAAATGTGTACTGCAATTTTGGATTTTGGATACAAAAGGAAAATAAGAGTTACTCCCCTTGAACCATGAAATCAACAATAATGGCTAGTATAATATATTAATATATATTTTTAATCTTGCATAATCTGGCAACCCTGAATCTGAGCTCAATGAAAATCATTCCCTGGACCTAACTTTTCTAGGGCTTTTGAATGGGCTATGAATCATTGAAATCAGACCAGTGGAAGCAGAGCAACTCCTCCGCTCCCACTGGTCACTTGGACACACACACAAAAACACACACGCATATACTGTACTTTATATATAAGATAATGGGAATAGAAATTCACAAGATCATATTAGTTGATTTTCGGTGGATGCTAAATTTAAATTTAAAATTCTCAGCATCTCTCATGTGTGGAGTCATATCAATGTAAACATAAACTTAGTTCGATGAAATTCTAAGGGACGAAACGTGACATGTAATAATATTTAAATTAAATGAAGCATTTTTATTGCACCTTCCAAATCATCAGCCTGCAAGCATGAGTAAGTAATGTGGAAAGTTAATAAAAAGTATGTCTCTTACAAGCTTCAAATTCACATCCCTTGGAAACCTGTTTTAACATGACAGCTGTCTGGCTGATTAGGACACAAGCACTACTGGTTGCAATCTTTCTAAACTAACAATATAGCTATTCTTTATTATGTCTAAATGTTTTGATACCCTGTCAATTTTATTTATATACATTGTATATCTCTCTCTCTCCCTTAAACTCCCCTGTAAGGCATAAGACCACAGTTCTATCACACTGCAGTTTCCTTGAACAAGTATGTTTTATGGGGTAATATCAACAGCCCTAATCCCAACTGGTTTTGAAATTAAAATTTTTCTTCTAGACTGGTTACAAACCACAGCTAGAGAGCTCAATCTGCCTTGCTATTTAATCCATAGCTGGGGAGAAGAAATAGATTCTCATCTTAAGTGGATTCTGCTTGCTAATTTCTCTCAGTGAATGAATCGTGTCATATCACTAGTAATATTTTTTAACTTTAAGTTTTGTCCATTTTTATCATAATTTACAGATCGTCACTAATAAAACAGTTACGTTGTTTAAAGTGTCATGTCTAATCAGGACATAAGCAATCATGACTCTCCACAGCTTCCTTTTCTTTATGATCTACGAATTACCATACATTCTTCGGAAAAATTGTGGAGTAGTTTCTTGTTGCCTTCTGTGTGGTGTAGTAATCAGAGTTTTCCTTATCTTAGCTTAGTTAGAACACAAGGTTTAAGAGCCCAGTCTACCTTATTATTTAATCTATAGCTTTGGTAAAAGGGCATTTGTGAGAAAATGAATGCAACCACCTAAGCCAGGATTTGAATTCAACTCACTGATTCCACTTTTTGTGCTGATAGCTGTCACACTACCCACACATCCTCAGAAACAGTTTGTACAGATTCTCACAGGTACCTCAATATTATCATACAAAGCTAGGCTGAGTTAATATGGTACTGAGCTTGTTGCCCCACTGCTCTAGCCTTGTGCCAAACTACATTCAATTATGTATATAACTGTAATTTTTTTGTGTTTATTTCAGCTGACATATTTCAATGAAAGCCTGATTGAAGGGACCCACACGACCCCCAAAATGCATTTTGTTGATTCATTAAATTTTCACTTGAATAAAATAAATGACACTTGTTATGTCAAGGTAAGTGAAACACACAAATAAAAAAAAAACTTTTGGTAATAAATGTAAAAAATAGACTACAACAGGACTTATGACAGAGTTTCATTCCTATGATGCGTCGTATGATTTTCCGTGTAAGTCAGAATGTACATATGATTTCCCATGAATAAGCACTTTCATCACTCACCTATGTTCATCAGTAGCATTGGCATTGTATCCATGAATTTAATTTCTTATTTGCCGATTGCTTACTTAATGATGATGGCATTGATGACTAAATTTACACTATTTACATTATTTGAACTATTGTCCTCATCTTTGTCGCCATATTTATCACAACATTTCGGCCATTGTACAACATTATCACAACATTTCGGCCATTCCAATCACCTGAAGAAGGCCGGAGCCTTCTTCAGGTGATTGGAATGTCGAACTGAACCCTTTATTTCGCTCACTGGGGTAGTCTGTTCTAGTTCTGCGTGCCATGTCTAATGGATGACAGTTAATCCTGTTAATTCCCCTCTGAAAGTCCTCCACCGCCTTAACCAGATATTGAACTCATACTCTTTGGGTCCTGTCACTGAATCTAACTAACACCTTTATCCACTGTGCCATGTGTCCATGTGGGACTAGAACAGTCTACCCCAGTGAGTGAAATAAAGGATTCAGTTTGACATTCCAACCACCTGAAGAAGGCCAGAGCATACAACGTCTGAAACGTTGTGATAAACATGGCGACAAACATGAGGACAATAGTCCAAATAATGTAAATAATGTACATAATATTTCATCTCAGAAATATAGACAGATGACTAAATTTGTTGCCAATTTGCTGGTTCAGGATTAGAAGCTTCAAGTTTCATCAAAAATTGTTTCTTTCATTCATCCTCTTTTGCTATTCACACTAATTATTAAGAAATACATATTTCTCAGCAAAAAATTTAAATTTACGCCTTTTTCCATGTGTATTTATCTGTTTTTATTAAAAAAGGTAAGTTTCTTATGTCAGTAACAACCAACTTTTTTCTTTTTTTTCTTCTTTACTGATCGCTTCCTTTATAATGATGGCCTTGATGACTAAGTAGACCAATTCCTGCATAGAAAAGTCGATGGTTAGTGGCTCTTGGTGGGAGACAAGGTTAATTTTGCCGAGCCTTTCTCTCTTGTCATTTGACTTCTTCCTTTTCTCTTCTGGCGTCTTCCAAGATTTTTCATTCCAATGGTAATGAAACATCACCAGTTGATACCGTCTTGTGCTTGTATTTCAAACGATTTAAGTTCAAGTCCAGTAGCTTTCATAGTTGTTTTGAGTTGGTCCTGGTATCTTCGAAGAGGGCAACTCTGTGGTCTTCTTTACCCTAAAGTGAGCTCACTGAATAAGACTTGATGTGGAAATGTTGACATTCTTGCTACATGTGCTGACCATCGAAGATGGTGTTTCATGATAGCGATTCGATGCTTTGACTGTTGGCATTTTCCAATGCAATAGGAAATAATCTCAAACATAACATTAGAACTAAAAAAAAGAAACATGGAGGACATAAATATAATACATGTAATGAAATGAAATTGTTTTAAGCTGTTTGTATATTTATTGCCAGTGATGTCATTGGCTCTCAGTAGATGAGATGACGAAGCACAGCATCTTGTTTCTCTCTTAATGTACTTGGAAGCAGCAGCAAATGGGAAAGAAAGTAAAACAAACTAGGGAATTCACCAACTTATAGTCTAACAAGAAAATATCCTTATTTCTTATGAGGAAACTTAATATGTATACACATAAATGCATGTTTTAACTGGCAAATATTCATCACTTCTATAGTGATGGCTTTCTTTTTCATTGAAGCACTACTATCAGAAGAGGTTACATTATGCTTGATAGCCATTATGAAGGGCATTAAGTCTCCATAAATACAATACAAGTAAAAGAGAGAAAATGTATAACAATCCAATATAATGTACAACCAGGAACTGACCTATGCCAACTTAAGTATGAGGTAAATGTCATAAGTTGAAATAAGATTAATAGAGATTGCATCATAACACCCAATCATTATCATCATCATGGCTTGGCTTCAAAAAATAAAGATCATGAGAGAGAGTCTGTACACATCGCTTGCAGGTACGTTTGTGACTGATAAGTCCAATACAGGACAGGCAGACTCGGTCGCAGTAGTTACAGCTAAAAGTCTGGCCTGGGCTCGATAACATAGTATTGCAGCACTTCTGATTATGCCTCTTGTCTCTGAGAGCAGCCCTGCAGGTATTTTCAAATGAGACAGAATGGTTTGTGGTGAGACACCAGGCATCACGGTTCTCAGTTAGAAAAGTTTACAAATAGTCACCAAAAAGTTCCAATGGTTCAGTTGTATAAATAATGTTTCTTTTTGTAAAAACATTTTGAGTTTCTGAACAAATTATATTTGTTGCTTCTAAAATGTAATTTCAGCAAGAAATGTCTGATTTGAGTTTAGTCTGATTTACAGCATATCAAACTTTTCCAGGTTCTGACTTGCTTAAGAATTTATAGGTAGACTATATTTATATTTATAGGTAGACTATATTGGTCCAGTCAAGAAAGTAAGCATAGGTTTGGTTTGTACTGGAGTCAAAAATGTAGACATGGGTGCAAACTAAACTTAGGTCTACCTTTTTGATTCTGGTGCAAAACAAACCTTAGTTAAAAAGGTAGACATAGTTTTCCATCAGAGTCAAAAATGTAGACATGGGTGCAAACTAAACTTAGGTCTACCTTTTTGATTCTAGTGCAAAACAAACCTGAATCAAAAAGATAGACATAGGTTTGCTCCAGAGTCAAATATATTAACATAGGTTTGGTTTCATGAGACTTAAAATAAAAAAAATTGGCAGCGGTAAAGTGCTGGCCAATATATATTTTTTATTTATTTTTTTTTTACTCTTGACTCCCAACAGACCAGGTGAAGAATAGTTTGGAAACGAATGTGTTATGTAATTTTGATTAGTTTTTGAACTGAAACATATTTCTTAAAATAAAAAAGATTTTACTGATTTTTAAAAATTGTTTTATTTATTTTATTTCAGGGGTTCTCTTCATCGGATCTTTGGTTTGCCTTGTTAGATTTTGGTACCAATTACTGCAATTTACACAACTTGATTACAGGTTTTGTATTAAAAAAATTCTTTACTTTTTCTATTTGATCTTTAAAGATTACTGTATATGCTTGTGTATAAGCCAGCTTCATCTATATACCCATGTATAAACTGGCTTTGTGTGTATGCTCGAATATAAGCCAGCATTTTGTATATACTCAAGTATAAGCTGGCTTTATGTATATAATCGTGTATAAGCCGGCTTTGTGTATACACTAGGGTATTAAAGTAAAAGTGTATACACTAGGGTATTAAAGGGTAAATTAAAGTGACAAAACCCATTGAAGAATGACAATGATTTTTCTTTGAATTTTAAACTACCTGATTGTTCATTCAGATAATTCCTAATTAGTTTAATCATGTTTTTTCTTCCAGGAAGTGGTTTGGACAAAATGGCTGGCTATTCTGAGTCAACTGCAAATGCTGTTTGCACTCTTTATACTTCAAGTAATTGTGATGTCTACTAAATATGAACATTTATTTTTCTGTTCGAAACTATTTTTATGAATTTTTATCTTGTTTTTCTTCTTTTTCTGATTGTTTTTTATCCTGCCATTGTCAGCTGTCCTCTTGTATCACCACAGTGTAGATTCAAAATAAAGAATTAGTCTCTGGCAAGATTTGAATTCCTCTTCCATTATGGGAGCTTGTCTTTATATAGATGATGTTGTAAACAATTTCACTGTGGTCAAAATAACTGCTTCATTTTGGAACCTCAAATTAAAATTTTTTATATAAAATAAAATACTTCACTCTCTCTCTCTCTCTCTCTTTTTGTTTTTTTGTTTAAATATTTTTCTACTAATTCAAAATTTAACTCTTTGAGGAACAGATTTTTGGGACAAAAAAAAAATCCATGTTGCACAGAATTTTTATTGAAGTTTCTCAGAAATATAATATAAAAAGGCCAAAAGTCTTTTAATCATCTCTTGATTGTTCATTTTTTTTAATCATTTCAACCCAAGCAAGGAAATAAAGCCACTAAGATGCAAGGAGTTACTGAGTGTGAGGGAATATGAAAAAAAAATTATTAAGGCAAGAGATACCAAATTTACATTATTCGGACTATTGTCCTCATCTTTGTCACCATATTTATTACATTTCGGCCATTGTACGCGCTGACCTTCCTCAGGTGGTTAGAATGTCGAACTGAACTTTTTATTTCACTTACTGGGGTCAACTGTTCTAGTTCCACGTGTCATGTTTAATGGATGTCAGTGATCAACTGATAACTGACATCCATTAAACATGGATCTCCTGTTAACTCCCCTCTCCAAGTTCTCCATTGCCTTAACCGGGTATTGAACTCAAACTCTTTGGGTCCTGTCACTGGATCTAACCAATGCCTTTATCCACTGTGCCATGTGTCCTTGAGGATACATACAGATACTGAAGGTAAAAGATCTATAAAAGAACAAAAATTAAGAAAACAAGATAATGATTGATATTTCTTTTAAACTTTTGACTGGCTAGTTGGCTGATTTTGTTCAGCGGCATATCAACACCTCTATGGGATATTTAATGCTGAAATCTAAATATTTTGAATGTAATTTTATTTATAAGTCTTTAGATAATAGTTTTAGTGATACAAGTCTTAATAATTAACCCATAGCTGAGAGGAGAGGAGGTGGATTCATTCCTTTCCCAAGGGTATTTGCATGTAAGTGAATATAACAAACCCAACTCGAATCGGAACTTGGCTCTCTGATTAATTCCAAACTGTATCCATTACACAGCCCGCACATCCAAGCTTGCAGCACCTGGTATTCCCAAGCGGTCACCCATCTAGATACTGACCAGCCTTGATGTTGCTTAACTTCAGTGTTTCAATGTGATATTGACATAAGCCTTAAATAACATGGGAAGCACCATGGGCCAAAGACAAAAAATTTTTGCCCAGGCCCCACAGCCAGTGTCACCAATATTATAATGATCCTACCTATCTTACTGCAATGAGGAAGTTGCTGCCAAAAGGTTGGAATCCCCAGGAGTGAGTTCTCCCGTTTAAAATGAGCAGAAATATTTACTTCTGGCACAAAAATTAATTTCTGTACCAGCACCACCTTGTTGATCATGTTTCAATGATGACTTTAGCTTATCCAGTCATTATGAATGTGACAGTCACATAGTATTTGATAGAAACATTTTTCATTAACAGCTGTTTGAAAACAATTTAATTTCATAAGAAAAAGTAATAACTTATTCACAGTTCCCTTTAATGAAAACAAATTTGTTGCAATCTGTCAATTTTTTCATTTAATAAACTTTGCTTATTTCCTCCTAAACTATTAATTACAGCAAGATTCATTTGTCAAATGGTTTGACATCAACTTAAATGAGTGGTCAGAAAATCCCAAGAGAACAGCACTTCAGTAGAATTTTTCAGGGCAAGAGGTCTGGAAGGTTTATGTAATGTCCCATTGTGACAGGAAAACATGTGGTCTTACCAACTATCTGGGTCAGATTATAAGCAATAGAGAAGTCATGACAGCATCTGCCTTCTTCATCGGTTCTGATTGAGTGGATGAACCACTCTTTGTCCTTAAAGCCACCGCAAACGTGAAGACTAGCCGAGGGATGATCAGAGAGGATAATCTGAATTTTCTCAACTATTTTGTCAAACATTGCAATTCCATCATTTTGTGGACAATAGTAAAAATGAAAGATATACTATGAATGAGGGCCACATAAAAGCACATGAACAGGAAATACAGGTCCTTGATTTTTGGGGTCTCTGCTTCATGGGAACCCATCCTTAATATGAGTGCTGTGTCCATGGCCATGCTGATTTCAATGGTCATGTTTTACTATGGTCAGTTAGTAGTCTAGGATTTGAACATCCATCACTGGAACAGATAGGCTAAAATCAGTTTCTGTTAGGAACATGAGGTCCAGTTTGGTGCCATGAAGATGTTGCAAGTATCCTACAACATGGTTCTTTGTGGTGGTGATTTTAGTAGTAGTTATGTTGGGCTATGGCGGCCATACATTCTTACGTGAACCAGTGCTGGCGAATTGGTTTCTGTTAGGATTTTTTCTTTGTGATAAAACTGTCTGTGCCAGATAGGATCCATTCAGACAGTTCTGGAAGCTCTATTTTTGGAGAAAGCTGATGGCGAAATAATAGGATCTGAAGTTAGCTTTGTTGAGCCAAAAGATCATCCTGTGACATGAGGTTGGACATCAAATTTGACATTGATCAGTGAGTGGTCAGAAAAGCCCAAGGCAGGCAACTCTTTAGTGGAGCATTTTTCAGGGTAGAGCATAAGAAACAGATCTAGAATGTTTGCAGGAGGTCTCCTTTGTGTCACGAACACGAGTGTGCTTATCAAGTATCTTGGTCAGTTCATAGCAATAAAGAAGTATCTTTCTTCTTTGTCGGATCTAAATGGGCGGATTAATCACTCTTTGTGGTATATATTAAAGCCACTGCAAATATAATACTAGCTAAAGGATATTCAGAGGATATGAATACAGACAAGGGCCATGCAAATGCACATTAACGGGAAATCTGGGGCCTCTGCCACATGGAAGCACATTCTTCATGCTTACTTCTAGATCACTCAATAAGCGACCTTACGCTGACTGAACCACCTCTCAGGAGAGTACTGTAATTTCTTGAAAATACACATTTTTTTTTTTTTTTTACTGTAAATTACATGTGATAGTAGGGATGCATATTATAAATGGGTTTAAACAAAAATATTTTTTCGTTATTGATTTATATTAATAATTACGTACTTCTAAAATAAGAAAGATATTATCCCAATTTTCATTTTAAATGCAACAATAATAAATGTAACATTTTTTGTCAATAAATTTGTTGATTAGTAATCGCATTTTTTATTTGGTGAAAAAATAAAAACATCTATAAAAAAGTCAATTTCAAAGAAAAGAGGATATCAAGTTAATTTATTGAAATTTTAATTTTCATCATCACTTTCTATTAAAGAATCAATATCTAAATTGTCATTAAACAAATTATTATTCACAATATTATCTTTGTCCTGTTCAAAATTATCTTTCGCCTCTTCATTTTCTTACCAAAGGATGTCATCTTCTTGAAATGACATCCTTTGGCAAGAGAATGAAGAGGCCGAAGATAATTTTGAACAGGACAAGATTATAACATCCTCACTGATGGAATTCCAAAATTTCTGAATCCATTTTACAATAAGTTCCAATTTATGGTAATTTTCAACATTATTTTAGCTGCTTAGTTTTGATTTTATTCTTTATGTGAACGTCAACAAAATGTCTTCATAATTAGTTTTTTAGTTTTGTTTTTTTTTTGACGAAATTTATAGATGCGTATTATACATAGAGATAAATATATTTCTTAATTTTTGGATCATCTGTTGGGGTATATATTATTTATGGGTGCGTATTATTTTCGAGAAATTACAGTATCTATTCAGCCTGTATGATAAGGTTCCCACTTGATTGCCAAGTTACATATTAGAAAGGTTTAGATGCATTCTGCAGAAACTTTGTTTCTTTGTATACACCTTAATGAAAGAAGTTATTTAATAGTTAAAGAAAAAAAATAAATATTCATCAAACTTAAAAAAAAAAAAAATATCTTGACCTGCATATTCCTCCAATGAGTTTAAATATCACACTTGTAGGAAGTTGATGGATTTCTTTTTATCGAAGCAGACTCCTTCTAATTGGGGAAGAATGCTATTACCTCAGAACAAAATTTTGGAAGATCAAATTTAACTGGGAAGCATCGAGATGGAAGGGAGTTCCACAAGCGAGCAGTGCAAGAAAAGAAACTGTTAGCATAGAACTTATGGTTATATCTAACCAATTCAACTGTAAAACAATGAGACCTTGTTGCCAATCTAGTACTGCACTTAAATTCATAAAGTCTTGTTACCATAGCAGACAGTTTATCTGAACAATTACCATGAAAGTATTTACAGAAAAAGCACAGGGATGCTATATTATGGCAGCAGAAAAGTGACTGAAGCTAAGATGTCATGTCAGGACCAATATAGCTGATTCTTTGGATTTTATCAAGAATCTTTAAATATATAGCAGGATTACTGGTCCATATGTGGCAGCAATATTTAAAGCATAGATGAATGGTAGACTTATAAAATTTTCAATTTCAGGATTTACAACTTTAGGGGCTACTTTTAAAATAAGCTAGACTAACTTAGGCTACTCATGAGAAGAAAGTCAATTCAAAATTTAGTCGCATTTGACTTTAAAAATGGAGCCTAATTTGTTACACAATCTGGCAACCCTGTTATAAAGAGATCCCCCACTTTTGCCATAGTAGATTTCATATATTTCTCAGATCAAGAAAATATACTTATAGGTAGGTTTATCAAATATTTAAAATGTTTAATTAAAAAAAAAAAAAAATTGTTGTTGCCTAAATACAAGTTATGTTGAACAATACTGACCAGTTTAGTCTGTTCAATTTTTATTACATTTTTACAACTAAGTTCTTTTATACAGACAGTTACTCCAGTCGTTATCAAGAACTGCATATTTTTTTGTCCGTTTATGAAACTGTTTGGCTAATTTCAATATTCCCTCATTTGCTGTAAAAATCACAAAAAAAAAAAAATTCTGTTTGCTCATTATAAATGATGTCACCTTTAAGTGACTTGAAATTGATTCCAGCAATTCTCACCTGTACTCAATGTGTAATGTCTTGCAGTCTCAGTTCATGTCATTCTCAGCACCCTTCTATAGACCCACTTTATCTGTGAGGAAACTGTCCAGCATTCACTGCCATATAGGAGGATTGATATTACATAACAGTTTAGTATTCTTTTCTTGTTTCTTAATACTTTGCTTAACTTTTGAAAGACTTTTTGCTATTCCACTGCACCTTTGAATTTCAGAGTCACATTTTCCATTCACTGTAACAAGACTTCCCAGATAGTTACATATTCATATTTGCTTGATTTTGGCTTTGCTTTCTTTATAGTTATGTTATTGAGAAAAGTACATAGGTTGATTATGTCAGTTACTGAATATCAAGTGTCACAAATTTTGGGTGGGGAATTGATGACAAATTATATTAATAACCATAAATAACTGTATTTAAGAAATCCCTTTGTCCATCCAGCAGTGGACATGCCACAGGATATGACGACTACTTCTAGAATCATAAGCCTTCTAGCTAATGGATCCACACAGTGAGAGGGGGGAGGGAGAAAAAGAAAAAAGTAAAGCCAATTCAGAAAGAAGGTAGAATTTATTTATGAAATATTAATGAAAATGAATTCAAATTTTACAAGAATGAAACTGAATATGTACAATTTTCTATACAACATTTTAATAAAGTCAGGAAGCATGTGGTAATTATTTCACACACACTTTTCAAATGTGTGAATGCCAGGAGGGAAGAAAGAAAGAAAGCTCTGTTAAATCTGCAAGAAAAATAGTTTATACTGGCAGAAGTTTCATGGAAAGAAAAAAAAAAGAAAAAAAAATTACAAACAATCAAGGAAAGGAAAGGAAAAAAAAAAAAAAACATGGTCCAATTGACAAACTTTTATACAAAAGAATTTAAGACATGCCAAGTTGGAGTGAGGAAACAATACCAACAACAGTACACAAATCTTTCAGAATTAAGGAAAGCCAAGAAGTATTAATACAATATAGAAAGGTAAAAAGCAATTTTCTAAATTGGAATTTAAAGTTCTAATGGAAATCATTAGGAAGGATTCTGATCACTTTTCTGTCAGTTTTGTCTTTTTTAGAAACACTGAAAATATTGAGAGACTTTTCAAGCCTGCTAGCCAAGTATATGTTTTTTATTCAAAACAATACCTTTTTGTTGTGGTGGGAGGGAAAGGGGATTCAAATGTTATTGGTAATATAGAAAATAAAACACAGGAGCTGTGATGTGAATCGACCTGTAATATATATATATATTTTTTTTTTTTTTTAAATAAATAAATCATTGACAGTTTTTTTTTGGGCTATTAAAAGAAAAATATCTTAACTGTTCATTGTTACCTGAATTAACCGTCATTTTGCAGATGTTATCAATTTTGAATTTTTTTTTTAAGCAGAAATTCAGTCAGCAATAATTAGGAATAAAAGGTTGTCGTGATTGCGGCTGCAATTGTAAGGGAGTTGAAGTTAAGGTAAATAGAAATAAACACCTTGCATGTGAATAGGTATTAAAAGATACCAAACTTGTAAATAAGAAAAAGCAAATAGTTAAACTAGCCTGTAATTACTTCACTTCATTAATTTGCATGTCCATTGATTACAATTTTTCACTCTTCAGCAGAGCAAAAATTTTTTTTTTTTTTTTTTTACAAACAACATGCATAACATTCATTTTAAGTATTTATAATAATAATAATAATAAAAAAAAAAAAAAAAAAAAACACTTCTGAAGTCACCTGATCAAGTCAAAAAAAATCACAAGAGAAAAAAATAAAAATATCCTGCCTATTTTTAAGGGCTATAAATGTGCAGGTGACATACTGGTAACAGCTCAGGATGAGAAATTGAAAAGCTGAGTTCTAATTTCAGTAGAATTTGTCACATTCACTTTTGCACAAATACCCTTGGAAAAGGTACGAATCCATCTCTTCTCACCCCATCTTCAGGTTAAATAGTAGCTCAGAGTTCTCTCTTCAGCCTTGGCTGGCAACCAGTCTAGAAGGAAAACTGAACCTGGGTGGTTGGAACTTGTTAGCATATAAACATGTGCCTGTCTTACGGAAGAAAACAGAAAAAACAACCCATCATCAAAGTATGGAGTTCAGGTATGGGGGGGGAGCAATCACCTCACCCTGAGGAACAATTTGATTACAGAAATTGTACCGGAGGCATTATATACCATGAAGCAAATGGGCAATTTTTTTTTTTTTTTTTCATAAACTTTAATATTATTCAATTGTTATTCAAGATAAATTCACAAATAACCTGCAGCAAACAGAAATCTTATGTTAATTGCAAGGATTGTTGTTAAAATACAAAAACAAATAAATGAAATTAAATAAATCATGATAGAAAGAACTTTTAGGAGTTTTGTAGAAATATTTGAAAACAGAAAGTGAAATTTATTTAAAAGGAAAAAAAAAAAAAAACATTTCTATTATAATCGTAAAAGATTTTTTAAAAATCTTTCTTGAGATACTAGACCAAAAATTTTAGACCTAACACTGCCACCAAGCCATAATAGACATATCTCAAGCTTTTTTAATTTCAGTAGGGAGAAAAGAAAAATCCCCAGTAGAGATGTTCATCCATTTAATTACAAGTAATTTACAGAATCTTTGATTAATTTGATGGAAATAATGTTTATGTTTGAATAAAATAAAAGTTATTCCTAAATTTTTTAGTGACAAAACATCAAAGATGAAAAGATATTTAGAGGTTGTGGAGGAGGTAATCAGAAAAATGTTTAGAATAAATGGAAACATTTGGACTTTGAAGCCCCCACTCCCACTTCAATAAGGGAAATTTGATTTAGTTGAAAACTGACAATAATAGTAAAGCCATAAAAGTCTGGGCAACAGTTCAAGGATTCAACTGACAAGGGTATACAACTGATCAGTGACTCATATGACTATTCATTATTTTTTTTATTTTTATCATTAAAGTTACTACTTCAAACTCCTAATAAAATAAGTGAATAAAAATCTTGTCAATGAACAGCATATTGGGAAACAAGTTTCAGCAACTGTAAATCTGACAATAAAAAAAAAGTAAAAACTGAATAATTTTAACTTAATATAAACAAAATAAATACTGAATTATTTAAATCTTGAGTAATAAAAAATAAAAAAAACCTTTGTCCCATAATAATTGTTTCACACATACACACACAAAAAACGCAATAATGTCAGTGTAAACATCAAGCTACTTACCAAAAGACCTAATACCTTAGAGAAGAGAACAAAGAAAAACAAGACCAAAAGGCAAACATCAAGCTACTTACCAAAGACCTAATACCTTAAAGAAAAAATCGAACAAGACCAAAAAAGGCAAACATCAAGCTACTTACCAAAAGACCTAATACCTTAGAGAAGAGAAAAAATCCGGAACAAGAAAAGAACAAGACCAAAAGGCAAACATCAAGCTACTTACCAAAAGACCTAATACCTTAGAGAAGAGAAAAAATCCGGAACAAGAAAAGAACAAGACCAAAAGGCAAACATCAAGCTACTTACCAAAAGACCTAATACCTTAGAGAAGAGAAAAAAATCCGGAACAAGAAAAAAGAACAAGACCAAAAGGCAAACATCAAGCTACTTACCAAAAAAGACCTAATACCTTAGAGAAGAGAAAAAAATCCGAACAAGAAAAGAACAAGACCAAAAGGCAAACATCAAGCTACTTACCAAAAGACCTAATACCTTAGAGAGAAAAAAACCGGAACAAGAAAAAGAACAAGACCAAAAAGGCAAACATCAAGCTACTTACCAAAAGACCTAGAGAAGAAAAAAATCAAAGAAAAAGAACAAGACCAAACATCAAGCTAATACCTTAGAGAAGAGAAAAAATCCGAACAAAGAAAAAACAAGACCAAAAGAAACATCAAGCTACTTACCAAAAAGACCTAATACCTAGAGAAGAGAAAAAATCCGAACAAGAAAAGAACAAGACCAAAAGGCAAACATCAAGCTACTTACCAAAAGACCTAATACCTTAGAGAAGAGAAAAAATCCGGAACAAGAAAAGAACAAGACCAAAAGGCAAACATCAAGCTACTTACCAAAAGACCTAATACCTTAGAGAAGAGAAAAAATCCGGAACAAAGAAAAAAGAACAAGACCAAAAGGCAAACACCAAACTAAGCTACTTACCAAAAGACCTAATACCTTAGAGAAGAGAAAAAATCCGGAACAAGAAAAGAACAAGACCAAAAGGCAAACACCAAGCTACTTACCAAAAGACCTAATACCTTAGAGAAGAGAAAAAATCCGGAACAAGAAAAGAACAAGACCAAAAGGCAAACACCCACCTATGCAGTAAATCAAAGTACTCAACACCTAGACTGAGCAAAAATTGCTTCACAATTTCAACAAAGGACAACTAGAATCATTATTCAAGTTTCACACTCTTGTGACTATATACATATATATGACGTCACACATTATGAAAATGGACAAAGTCCAATTATTTTAAGAGATTTTTATGTTTATACATTTTTATAGATACAAATATTTAAGTAAATACTCCGTTTATAATAAACAGCATTAAACAACATTTATCGGAGGACGAATATTTTCTGTGAAAATTTCTCAGACATTCAGGCCAGTAAATGTTGTTTAATACTATTTATTATAAACAGAGCATTTACTTAAATATTTGTATCTATAAAAAGAATGTATAAGCATAAAAATATCATATATATATATATATATATATATATATATATATATATATATAATCTCGGCAACTCTTATTGAAAGTTATATTTATTTTCTTAATTTTTCTACATTGAAACCTGACAGTTTTTTTTTAAATTACACCAGCCATGTTTATATAATTTCAACAGTTTAAGAACACCTAAGGCAAAATCCACAAGGTTTAAAAAAGTGGTATCAAAAACACCTGCCAGACATTAAAAATAGCATCATGGTTAAATTTAATGATTAAGAAAAAAAATATGCTTAAACTAAATTTAAAGAATCCACATAATTAATAGTTCAAAGCACTGATCCATTGAGTTTGTGTTTCATTCTGTTACAATGCATAAGCTGACCCAGACTGATGAACTACTGGTCAGATGGCCATGTGGGCATGGAATTCTGACAGTGATGGATTGCCTTTGTTTAGGCATTGATATAAGACCAAAGATCTGCAAAGACAGACAGCTGCAAGAATTAAGATGCCTTAGTTGGGTAAACTAGCATGTGGTAATGAGACTTTGGCTGACTGGTTGATATGCACCCTTTCAATCATCTCCCTCTCAATTCCTCCAAGAAATGATGCTATGACTACTGTCCTCCATAAAATAAAAAAGAGAGTAAAAAATTGCCTCTATGACGTAGCATTGAAGTCTGAAGAACTGAAGCCAAAAACAACAGGAAATGCAACACATTCGGATTTCATTTACAAGTGCAGGAAGATGTAAATTTCAGACTAAGTGTAATAACTATTATAGGACAAAGGTAGATTTTAAAATTAACCAGAAGTATACACATTATGTATTTTCCACAAACGCAAATTACATAAATGAAAATTATATTTGTTTGAGTTGTTAACTTAGAGGAAAATTAAAATTTACATAATCTAAAAAGCAAGGAATTCTGTTTTAAAGCCTTCAGATTTTAAAAATTTTTTTTCTCTGACCCTAATTAAAAATGGTAGAACCATTAAAATGATATTGATGAAGAAAAGTTACCCCAGTCCCATAATAATTGTTACATTTGCATGTATTTCATACACTAAATGTAACAACTATTATGGGACAGAGGTAATATAAAACTGCACAAAAATTTTAGCATTTGTGAAATTTGTTAAATTTAACAAATTAAATCACATAAAACTACAAAAGATATTTTAGAGATGCCAAAGGATAGAGATATCTGAAAAATGTTTATAAATTTCTATGACAAAGCATCATTACTGTCATTTTTTTTATTAATACTTATCTTATTTCTTTTATGTATCATAGAACAGCAAGTCACGTGTTGCAATAACAAAAAGAAAAAAAAAAAAAAGATTAAATTGATATTACCCCAAGCAAGGCAGTAATGCCATTAAAACACAAGGTGGTTACAGGGTGTGGAAGAATTAGGAACAGAAACGATGAGCAGAAAGAGTAGAGGGTAATGAATAAAAAAAATGATAATGCTTGAAAGCAATCAATATCAACTGTGGTATATTCTGTGTACATTTCAAATTGTTTACTATTCTAATCATAAGAACAATGCAACACCAGTTCAGACACTTACAGCTAAATCTATCAATGCCATGTACAAGTCATTCCCATCAAAAAGTTCTATTCAGACTTCTCCCAAATAACTGCTATTTTGTGAGAGACTACCAAGTGGGTGCTTCCCTGATCACTATGATCTTAACCTCTTCAAGTCTAGGTTCAACCGTTATCTTTCCTATATATCCTCATAATCAGCACTTCTTACCTCTTCCTCTTGTGTTCATATAACAACCTCATTCATACTCCCGAGAGGATGCTTCCCTGATCACTACAATCTTAACCTCTTCAAGCATAAGGTTAGCTGTTATCTATCCTACATATCCTCATATTCGAATCTCATCAAAGTCGCTTTATGAGGAAGGTGACTTCTTGATGGTATCAGCTTTGGAAACTGCCTGAAAGCCATACCACGAATTGACACAAGCCTTGTGAGTGAAGTTGGGTAGACAGAACAATTAAGGGAGCCATCGATGATTGAGCCAGCATGAAATCACAAGTCATCATGACTGGGGATTTGAGCATACTGGCTTTGTTCAGACTTGATCACACCAAACTTTGTGCTCTTCCCCAGAAACTGGGACTAAGGTTTGCTCAGTATAGTTGCAGTATAAACCACAGGTGGGCTCTGTGGGTGTTGGACAAAGACAAATGTGGCTGAGTAAGGCGTCTGCAACAGGGATTGGCTAGTCACCATAGTAGACAGGCATACTTGGATACAAGTGGCCAGTCACCATTATTATCTTCAGAATCTGCACTTTCACCTCCTCCTGTTACACTCATAGAATAACCTCATTCAGCAACCCTCTACCTTGAGTGGCTTTTGGTCAAAAAAAAAAAAAAAAAAAAAAAAAACAAAAAAAACAAATGAAAATCAGATTGAAATGCCATCAATATCTGCAACTCTTAAACTATGTACAAGCAATTTATAAAAAGTTTTTAATAGCCAAGTCTATATTTTAAAATATTTTTTAAATATTTCTAATAAGTGGAAAAGATTCCTAAGTTTAGGAAAAAAAGAAGCAGAAAGAAAAAAAAAAGAGAAAAAAAAAGGATGAAAACAAAATGGGGGAAGAAAGGCACTGTATTGACAGTTGTGATGATCTACTAGTATAAAAATAATGAAAAAACACTAGTTAATCTTAATTTTGTACAGTTGTGTGGAAAAACATTTTTAATTTTTAGTTAATTTTATTAAAAAGATTTCAATTTGGAAATTCTTATCAGTAATACAAAAGTGAAGCAAAGTGGGAGAAATCTAAAATATTTTTCAGAATGTTTTCTTATATCAAATAAAAAAAAGAAAGAAAAAGAAACCATTAAATATATGTTCTTTAGTTTTCTTTCCTTTACTGTATTAAAGGAAAGAAAATTAAATTTAAAAGTTGCTCAGTTCAGTAAAGTGAGACAAAACACCAAACAATAATAATGGCTAGCAATTCCAGAAGCTAAAATACAAAAAAAAAATAAATAATGTTAGAATTTCAGAAAACACATGCCAATTTTTAAAGTAGAGAAATATTTCAAGTGTTTTTTTTTTTCTTTAAAACTGCATGAAGATATTCATTCAGCTATTTATAAACTTTTTTTTTTTTTAACCAATACAATATTTGCATTTACACAAAAACAACCTGCAGTTTATCCTGTGCTGATAATCACAGGTTTAACCGGGATAAGCATACATCTTAAACTGGAATTTTAATTTAAAGTTAATTTTTAAATTTTTGAATAACTGAAACATTGACGAATCATGCAAGTAGACGAAAAGTTATTTTAGTAACAATGAATAGTGAGATTGAGAGAAATAGATTTAAAGAAAAAGGTGTTAAAAAAATTATATATATATTTTAAATAAATGAAAAGAAGGGGTTCTAGTTGACAAATTCCAAGCTGTATTTATGACTGGAAAAAAAAAAAAAAAATACAGAAAATCATTCTGTTAAAAATTTGAGAGAAAAGAGAGGAAAAAAAAAAAAAAGAAAAAAGAAAAGAAACAGACACACAGAACTTAAAAATGAGAGTAAATTTACAAAGTTAACATTTTGTTTTCTTCTTTACAAATATAGTACAGGACAATCTCATTATACAAGTAATTATAAGTAGTCGGTTTGGTTTCTGAGAAAAATAAACCTGGCCCTACCAAGACTACTAAGATGTTTAGAGTAGTAAGAAAAACATCCTAAATATTTAAAATCAAATTTCAAGATGCTTAATTAAAAATATCATGATAAAAACAATTTTGCTATAATTACACATACAAGGATGGTGCTGAAACACTCTGAGGCACAACCAAAAGAAATGACCTAAACCCACAAAACATTCAGGCTCATGACTTTTCAGCACCCCCCTCATATTTTTTGGTAAGAAATTTACTATGATATAAATATTAAAGCAAGACCTTTGTATCACATGCAAAACTTGACATAATTGGTGTCAAATTATTGGCAATGAATAAAGACTTCAACTGGATTGAAATGATATTGATGTGAAGCAATTTTTTGTTAAAGAGACAAATGATGTTGTCAGTCTTCTTAGAGAAACATTTTTTATTATATACATAAATTATTAAAAAAAAAAAAAAAAAAAAAATCAACTTTTAATTTATTGAAATGTTTGACCCTTTCTTTTTATTAAATATCAATTTTTAAGAAAAATTAAGCAAAATTATTTAAAAGTGGAAATTAAGATATTTATCAATTATAAAATTAGGAAAATGATTACAATAGAATTTAGGCAACTCGACATTTAACTGTTCAAAAAAGTAATTTAAAAAAAAAAAGAAAAAAAGAAAAAAGATATCACTCACATTTTATACTTTCAAATTAATTAATTCAGTTTTAATTTAACTTTAATTTGTTTTTAATTTAGTTTCCAAATTGGACTATTTTCATTTTTTTTTTTTTATAATTGGAGATAAAAAGTGAAAAATTCTTTGGCAAATTTTGAAATAGTAAAACTTCAAATTTTAAAAAGGAATAAAGTATATTATTTAAAGCAAGAAGAAATTTATATTCACATTTTATTTATATCTCATGGTGGGACAATATTCCCCTACAAATAAATTCCTTAGATCCCAAAACAAGTCAATCCTAATTCAAATGTTATAAAATAAAGTTAAAATGTTCAAATAAACAAAGATTTTAGCTGGAGAGAGAAAAAAAAAAAAAAAAAAAAAACTTAAGTGCTTTATTAAATTTATTTGAATTTTTAACAGCATTGACAATATGTACATAGATAGAGAAAGTAGAGAGTGTGTGTGTGTGCACATATTATATATATATATATATATATATATATTATATATTATATATATTTCTTATAATCAGATTGTCCTGTAAGAGTTAGAAAATTATTAAGGCACAGAAGAAATTCCCCACATATGAACAAGATAGATTTTTTTATATTACAGTTTTCACATGAATTTTTCAAAAAAAAAAAAAAAAAAAAAAAAAAAGAAAAAGATAAAATATCACAGGTGTAATTGAAATATACTTCTTCCTAATGTGTGTATAAGGATGTTCGTATATGCACATGTAATAATCCGCATTAAAGATTACGTACAGAAACACATACTCAAAGTGACAAGAATTAAAAGAAAAAGAAAGAAAAAAAAAAAAAAAAAAAAAGGTACCTTTCAAGAATATTTAGTTAAGAAGATTTGCTTCTTTTTATATCTAATATGCCATTTGAAATGATTTTTTCTTTTTTGAATACTGAGGATATCGCAGTTATATTCTTTTGCAGTTGACAAATAATAAATAAAAGCCCTTAGCTTTCAAATAAATAATCGAAAAATCAGAAAAAAAGCTGGTTATATTGAAATTGAAAATTGGCATAAAATATTACAATTTCAAAATTATAAAATAAATAAAAAGGCAACAGATTTATACAAAGATATGAAGACACAATCCATTCAATCTTTGTATTATGAGAATATCTTAATTTCTAATGCAACATGCTTTGAGAATTTGTCAGGCAAGATCAGGAAATGTTCATTTGATAGCAAATGTATTTGAAAACGGTTTCACTCTGATCCCATCAAGTTTTGAAAGAAGTCCATTACCCAGCTTATAGACTGCATATCCTCTTCCCTATCGTTGGAAATAGGAATCAGCTGCTTTGGAATGTTGTACAACTGGATGTATTTGGTTACCTGGGTTGTTGAAGGCCAGCTGCTGTGAGGGTGACATTAGTCGTGTGTAGTAACCACCATTTCCATCGGGAGGATAGACAGATTTGAAGGAGTCAGCGGGAGCCTACAAAAATGCAACACAAACTGATTAAGCAGGAAGGAAATGGGGAAGTGTGCTTAGCCTTTCATAGAAGAGTACAAACATTATTTTCAAAACAAGAATTATTTTTTCTAGAAGCCAGAAAGCAAAGAAAAATACTAAAGAAACAATGGTTATTACTTGTCACTGAGGAAGACAGTAGACAGCCTCATTTTACATCAATAAAACAGTTAATTAGAAATTATAGAAGGTAAAAAAGAAGTGTTTCTGTCAGCATCCAAATGTACACTGGACATTTGAGGAATGAAAAGAGTTTTGGTCTGAATTTCTGAGATAGGGAGTTATTTAGTCAGAGTAATGTCCTCATCTTTATTATAACATTTTGGCTGTTTTGCCTTCAAAAAAATTCATATGCCAAAAATAAATATGATTTCAAAATGTAAAATATTATGTAATTACATGCATGAGTCCCAGTATAAATAGTTATAAATAATTATTGACTGATTTTATCAATGTGATATCTTTTGCATTATATCAAGTATTAAGAATCACTAGGAGCCTTAAATTTGGAGGAGAGAATTATCAGTGATAATATTCTGACTTCAAATCCACGGTTATCTCCCTTTAACCCTATCTAGGTTTATTTTTAATTTTTAAATGTACTTTTTATCACATAAAATTTGGTGAGGCACAAGTAAATTTTCATTACAAAAATGCATCCCAAAGAAAAAAAAATTTGGGAACTACTGCTCTAGGCTATCAAACATTGTAATAACAAAGACAATAGTCTGTATGTAAATGATATAAATAAGAAAAGACTTTTCCTTGGCTTCATTCAGAATTAAAATGTTTTACAAGCAAATAGTAAAAATGTAGATTATTAAAGGTTTCAATTTATGTAAAAAAAATTGTGTCAGTTTGGTCCCAGCATGATAATCAGATGAAAATGAAAGCCTACCTGGTTAAAAACAAAAACCTCAAATCAGAAGGAAAAAATTTCTAACCATTAGCATTGGGATTGAGAGAAGAAGATAATCAATAAAATGCCTTCTTCGATTAAGTAATCTAAGCAACCACAAATTAGACAAGAGAAAAGAAAATAATTTGCACCTGACAAACCTCAAAATAAAGATCTTGGAGACACACACACACACACACACACACACACACACACAGCAATCAGTCAGAAGAAAGATCTTGTGGGGTAAAGGAAAAACCATGTCTAAATAACAATGTATTCAATAGAATCACAAGCCAAGACAGGTCTTGCAGAGAATGCAGTCAAAAATATGAAAACAGTACATATTGATGATAAATCAATATTAACATGGATTTAACACTGAATAGTTTGTCTTTAAACTCCCTGAAATGAAATTGAAAAATAAATTGTGAAGGTCACATACCAAATAATAGCTAGATCCTTTTTCTACAAATGAAAAAAGGAATTATATGACTAAGTATTAATATATTAATTCTTTACCATCAATTGATGCCAGTTTCTTTTTACAAATACTGACTGACCGACATAAGTAAATAGTAATGTCACTAGAGATGGTTGTTAATTGTTAACTTATTAGGTCTACTTGATATGTAGTCATTTCACACAAACTGAGAAATATTAATATATTTTAAATAAAATCTAATAAACAAGCCAATATAGTAAAATCTATAAATTATATAGGATTTAGATTTTGCAACTACAAAACTGACATCAAGAATTTGTTGCATGTTAAAAATGAGCCAGATTTCTTCTGTACATCATACTAATATTTTAAATGAAAGAGTATTTTTGAGATGATTTCAAAAGATGGTGTTGTTTCAATCTGGCAAAGAATGATTGCCAAATACAACACTTGCCGCTCACCAATTTATAGGCAGAATTACACAAATGCATGTTGTTTTTTTTTTTCTTGCTTATATTGCAAACTTTGTCAGTTCCGATACTTATTTTGCATTTAACCATGGCAACTCACTCCACAGATGTTTTTAATATTATGTACAGTAAGTTTAGGCTTATTTGCATACATTATTTCTAGTTGTTGAAAGAAGATGGAATCAGAACATAAAGGCCAAAGATTTAGAGGAAAAGGTGGGCTTAAAAGTTCAAATCTAGACCAAAAAAAGATCCATAAATATTGTGGTTACATCAGGTGTGGAATCTGAGGCTGAGTAGTTAGAAAAATGTCAATGAATTTTATCATTATTATTCTCATTAAATATTTTTAGAAATTTACTATATGTGCAAAAACTCATAGTTTTGGGGGTTAGCCAGCAGTGTTCTGGTTTTGTTGGATGTTATTACATTCAAAATAATCACTGATTGTATTGTAAAAGCTGTCAAGTCAACATGCAATCTTTTATGAGAAATGTATTAAAATTGTTATACTGTGAGTGTAAAAGGTCGTATGAAAAGCAAAAAAAATACTATTAAATATGCAGCTCCAAAAATTCATCTTCAGGCCTCATCTATTATAATTATTAACTACTATGTCAGTCTTTGACTGCATGATCATAAAATAAACAATAGCCTGGTGATTGGGGTTTTATCCTCAGAGAGCACTTCCCCACTGTATTAACAGCTGTAAAAGCAGAAGTACATGCCAATATGTTAAACAAAAAATCAACAAAAAGTTTTGGTTCATTTTTTATTTCCCAACTGAAAAAAAACAAACAAAAAAAAACAGAAAACAAACCAAATCTTGTAGAATATCAACAGGTATCAAAATAAACATTACTTAGCACTTTAGCACTTGAACATAATTATTATTTTATTTAAAAAAAAAAAAAAAAAAAAAAAAAAAAAAAAAAAAAAAAAATTGTATTGTATATTGTTTGTAATCCAGTTATCAAAGAGACTAATAAAACAACTTATCTGCATAAAAATAAAGTTTAGTCAGGATTAAGAGAATCCTGACCTTTTTCATTCCCATGATCCAAACTAAAAGTAAAACTATTAGACAGGATAGGTTTTAATAGCCAGTAACAAATGTTAAATACAGATAAGTAATGACAACTGTGTTTAGGATTCTATCCATCTCATTCTTAAAAATGTCACTTAAGGAAGTTCTAAAACTATCAAGCTCAGTACATTATCAATGTAAATGTTGGGTTAAAATTAATGGATAAACTCTCATTCTGTCTATTTTATTTTTTCTTGCAACAACACAAATAGCAAATTCTACAAGAACCTTGAAGATGTCACTGTGAGTTTATACAACGGTGGGATGGGATTGTAAAAATCAGTTAACTCTTAGAACAATAAATTGTTTAATAAAAGGACAGGTTAACCTTTATTACTATGTAACTTCATTTTCTGTACAAAAAGTTTATCCTGCTACTGAAGGTGATTGATCCATAACAATAGTGTGTTTGAATTTCATAGTTGTGTTGTCATATCCTGCTATGGCAACAGGAAACAACTTTGAGTGAAATTAACAAGTATACTGCAATTGAGAAGCCTTTAAAAAGAATGCAGTAGAAAGGGAAGTAATATTAATAATGCCATGTACTAAGGGTTAAACAATGCCTTATCATGATGCAAGAAACAAAGATGTTTTGTTGTTCAAATTGTATGCGACCATGCAGAAACAAATTCTCAGCAGACCTCATATTCTAGTCAGGTTTAAAGAGTTAGGTTAAAAGAAATCAGCTATTTTTAGATGATTTTGAAACTAAGTTTATCTTAGTATGGAACAAGAAAAGAAAAAAAATGAAATGAAGAAAATAGTGTTGTGTCAACTTTTGAAGTGACGAGATCTGTGGTATACTTACAGGATTTACAGAGCCATGTGGGAGTGCAGTATAGGGAATTTCTGAACTGATTGTCAAATAGTTATTGTTTTGCTGATATTTCCAAAAGCAACCAAAGATAACCAACAAAATAAGGATAATCGCAATACCAAACCTGAAAAGAAAACACAATATAAAATAATGTCTCACTACAACAGACTAATTTCCTCACATTACACTGGTTAACCCTTTAGTATTCAACATGCTCAAATCTGCCCTGTAAATGTTGGCTCTCAAAAGTCTCACTGTTTCCATGACCTCCTGCATTATTTGCAATAATGTTGTCATATATTATAGCATAGTATACAGGCGGGTGGGTTACAACAGATTGAACATATAAACTGATATTTATGGGGCAGGTTGAATACTAAAGTGTTAAAGCCTACATGCAAAACAGAATTTTCTTAAATATGAAGAGACAAAAAGAATTTGTTTATAGCTGCTAAGATGAAATTGTTACTTGGATTTTTTTATCAGTTAAATTTTTTGACTGACTTTTTTTTTTTTTTTTTTTAACTGCTTTTGCAGGTTAATTAAAGACAGAAAATATTTTCAGATTGTAAGACATTTTTTTGTGAAGGAGATAAGGATTTACTGATACAAATCCTAGTTGGAGGAGAAGAGGTGGATTCATACCTTTCCCAAAGATAGTTAAACATTAGTGAATATAATAAACCAGACAGGAACTGGAACTACTCTCTGATTTTCAATTCCGAGCCATTATCCATTACACCACTTATGCATCTAAGCTTACAACACTTGGTATTCCCAAGCAGTCACCCATCTTGGTACTGACCAGACTCAGCGTTGCTTAACTGCAGTGATCATACGAGAACCAGTGTTTCAATGTGCTATGGTTGTAAACCTTTTTTATTAAACAAACTAAAAAGACAATGTATATTTATCAAAAGATTCTATTAATTTTGACTACATCAAATTTAAAGATAAATTTAAGAACTTTAAATTGGACAACTGAAAATAAATAATGTCCACTTTTTGACAGTTTTGCTTTGATAAACATATTACAAGTTTATTTTAAACATTTTATTAACAAAAACACATCAAAGAGTAATATTCCTGAGTAATATTCTCTAGAACCAATTTTCTTATTTTTGAAATAAGATTTTAGTTGCTGTATTGTTCACCTTCCTCTGGGGCCTGTTGCATTTGGTAAACTTTTGGGAATGCCATAGATCCTATTATTCAATTCACAGTGGTAGGTTTTCATTTTTATAATGATCATGTCTTTTTTTTGTCCTTCTTAAGGAATTTAAAACTCATAGCTACTGTGTTTCCAGGAGCCCAAATTATATTCTATGACTTGTTAAAGTATTTCTCCTGAATCAATAGTAATAGTGTTAACCAGTCATCTTCCTCACAAATCGTGCCTCTAATGCTATAACACTCTACTTCGAGTGGCTCTTGGGTCTTACACATTTTATTGTAAAAAAAAAAAAAATAAAAAAAAATAAAATAAAAAAAAAATAAAAAAAATAAATAAAATTCTCAAATCAGTCATAGAAGTTAATATGAAAAGCATTAAAACAAAAATCAAATGTCTCCTGCATTTTAATAAGTTATTATTAAAAACTAAGCCTTGGCATATATGCTAGATATTGCTTTTACATATTCAGTCTATCATAGAACTTTTCTCAAAAAAAAAAAAAAAAAAAAAAAACTACATTATTAAAATACTTTTATACAGGATATAAGAAGTGACACAGCTGAAGAAGGATAGAGTCAACCATTTGAATTTATAATGATCATAATAACAAATGCTAGTCTAAAATAACTCAAATAATGAAAGTACATTATCCAACAATTCTGATGCTTGAATCAGCAATATATCAGGTAGCAATTTAAGAAATTATCTTAGATATGAAATTCTCAATGCAAAATGTACATCGTTAATCAGAAGACTAAATTAACATGATCTAATGCTTCTTAAACTTTATAAAAATTAACTAAAATCTCTTCATATATACAAGAAAAGATTATAATAGAGGCATCAGTCATTTTTCATTTATTTTCTGACCTTTGAAAAGGCCTATCTGCAACTCATAGGTTTTCGGTTAGCCAGAAGTGTTCTGGTTTTGGCATGGATGGTATTACATCCAAAATTATCACTTGATTGTAGTGTAACAGTTGTTATGTCAACATGCATTCTTATATGAAAAATGTGTCGAAATTGGTATACTGTATATACTCAAGTATAGTGCAAGTTTATGATTATCTTTTTAAGCAAAAGAAAAATGTGTGGGTATACACAGGTAATTTTTTTTCTGGATAGGTTAAAGTTCATGCAAAAAAAAAAAAAAATTGGGTGGGAATGGGTGCACTATATATGAAATTGACTTATACAAGAGTAGATACAGTATTTTTGTTTACAGAGTCTAAAACTAAAAGATAGAAGAAAAACATTTAACACATTCAGATAACATGCAACCCAAGTAAAAAGATTTATGCAAGTCAATGATGAACATTCAAATTAAGACATTACTTGAGAATAATGAATATTATATGATGCTAAAAGATAAACACTATACTCAAAATATCCAAAGCAAATTGCCGCAAAATGATTTGCATTGGTTTGATTATGTTAATCACTTTGCACCCCATCCATTTAAAAAACAAATTGTGACAGGTGAGAAAAAGTGGTAACTATACAGTAATGTAAATTGCAAAAGATCACAGCTTATGCAAAATCAACCAAAACAACTGTATGAAAGGCCAACTTTACATAAAAAAAATATTTAGAGAGATTGGAAAGGAGTCTTCTACTACAAGCTTTTTCTGGAGATGGAAATAATTGATTTAGACAAGTAATGCCTCTAATAAGACCAATGTAAAACATCAATCAACAAAAAGGGTGTTTCTGGAATAAATTAACAGAAAAGGTGTAATCTTCCATACAATAACATAAGATCAAATGATTTTTTGCAAACAGAAAATGTTACAATTTGGCAGGGAGGTTTTTATTTACTACATACAGATATTACACACTTTCTAATTACCATTCATTTTTTTTTTAACAGAATTCATTTAATAAACGAAAAAAAAAAATTCTGAACTACAGCAAAATACACCTCGAATAATTCCTTGCTGAAAAAAAAATATTGTAGGATGATGAAAATATAGACTTGCAAAAGAAGGCAGAAGATATTGGAATAAAAATGATAAATGTTTAATGTCAAAAATAAGAAATAACTTTTTTGAAAAATTTATTTGAACTTTTAATCCAAACTAATAATTTACTGAAGCAAGAGATACATATTTCATAGGAAATGGATTAATAAATCCAAATATTTAAATATATTTTCTGTTTAAATTATTTTTTATGGATACAGCCTGAATGTTTGAGACATTTCATAGAAAATATGCATCCTCCAACAGGAATCAAGCCTGCATCTTATACAGAACCAACATTAAGCCTGTCATGCCATTCAGTCACAGAGAACTTTCTCAAATATTCAGGCTGATAAATGTAATTAATACTGTTTAATTAAGGAACAGAACATTTACTCAAATATACACACACACACTTTAATAGCAATTGCTATAGAGCCAATTCATTTAACTAAAAATTAACAGATCAGCACCAGGTTCTTAACTATGGAAATTAGCAATATAAAACAATTCCACATCATTCATACACATAAATATTACAATACGCTAAATCAATTTGTAAGTTTCTGGTCTGTAATATCTAAGTATTTGTTAAACTGTCCTTCAGTTATCTCCCTTGCTCTGGCAACAAGTTGTTAACGTCTTTGTTATGATGATTAGAGGACTGTCCCAAGTTTACAAAACTGGGAGGTGAAAAGGACAGGCTGTAAAAAAGCAGAGCACAACAATTTAGATTAAAAAAAAAAAAAAAATCCCAAACAAACAAACAATCTTGTCACGAACTAAGTGACTAAGCTCCAAAGGACAGGAAGCTTTCAATTCTTATTTAATTGAAAATGGTAGAGGATTTAGTGGCAAGCATATTTTTTCCAGGAGAGGGTGGGGGGGATTAAAAATAAGAACTTTTAAAATACAATTAAACGGGAGGTTGAGTAACGGTTAGCAGATCAATCTCCCAAACTATTGTCTGCCTGTACAATTTTCAAGTCCTCCATTACAAAAAGTACAATAGGGTTATGGTCATGCAGGCTAAACACATAGATCACAGAATTTAAAGGCTAATGTCATGGCCTTTTGACAATAACTTACAATGAAAAGTCATCATTTAGTCTAACAAATGTTTCCCCCCCCAAAAAAAAAATGAATCAATGGAACATATTATAAACATGCTCTTCTTATGAATATCAAAATACCATCAGAAAATTAAACCAGCTTAAAAATGAAATGGAAATAAAATAATAAAAATGAATTACCAAAAGTACCAAAGTTCCCAGACTTTATATGATTTGCAGCAAATGTTGTAGCCACAACAATATTCATCATCACCACATCTGTAAGAGGAAATAAGAAATTAACCACAAAATTAAAATGAAATGCTCAAATTGTAACCATTATTATTGGTTTTACTCAAACATTACAAAACTACAACTAATTTTTTTTCTTCATCTAACAATTATACACAGAAAACATCTTGACAAATGAAGAAGCTTTATAATCAATTTTATTTTTTTTAATAAGTAAAAAGTAACAGAATTTGATTAAAAAAAAAAAAAAAAAAAAAAAATATTTAAATTCAACAAAAAATTGTTACTTAAAAACAATTTTGGTTTTAATATTTTATAGAAATGAACTCAATAATTGTAATCCAATAATTTTTAATTACCTTATTTAACAGCACCTATTTTATTTCTTAAGAATAAATAAAAAATAACAGAATTTTATAACCTTGCACTACAGAAACTCCAAATTTGATGAGTAACTTAGAATCATGAGTTATTTTATATTCATCTTACTGAAGTCTGTTAATGCTGGCATTTATTTTTAAAAGATACCTGCATTAAATTTTAATGAAATTATATTTTGCATCTTATTTACTAATCAGTTGGGTTTATTTTAAAGAACAGACAGGAAGAAATTATGGTCTCTTGAGATGTAACTGAAGCATTAACGTAGTAAGGCAATTTCATTTATAACAGAATATGAAAACTTTCTTAAAAGAAATCTTTTATATTTGACCTGTTCAAAGGAAGTATACTTGCATTTCATTTCAGATTCTGTTTTTAAAATAAGCAAGAGTGTAAATGATACTGATAATTGAATAATTGTTTTATCAATATTTCATGATTTAAAAATAGCTATGATAATCAAAGTACAATTTATGGTCATATATTGTTTTTTGTGGCAGAGAAATTTTTAATTAATTAAAAGAAGAAATGCAATAATTTAAATTCAACAAAAAAAAAAAAAAAAAAAAAATGTTACTTAAAAAACAAAAAAAAAAACATTGGTTTTAATATTTTATTGAAGTGAACTTAATAATTATGTAATCCAATAGTTTTTAATTATCTTATTTGCCAGCATGTAAAACAAATTCAAAAGACTTCATCTAAGGCACTGGAATTATAGCTAAAGAGACCATCTATTGATCATGCAATATGGTCAGCAATGGGATCTATAGGAATTGCATTGAATGATAGTTTCTCTCTCTCTCTCTCACACACACACTAAATACCCTTGTAAACCACAAGGCCAACAAATTAGGATAACTGCATTGATAATTAAATTTACAGAATTTCATATTTATATTTTCTAAAAAATTAGACTTGAAAAAAAATGTGAACAATGTTTTTTGTTTTAACAAAAATTACTTTTTTCTTTAAATTCACTAAACACAAGACCCAAGAGTCATTCAAGGTAAATGGGGATGTTGTAAGGATATACAGGGAGGGAGCAAAGGTTGCATATTATGAGAATATGTGGGACATAATGATTGAATTGTAGTTATCAGAGACGCATCTGCTGGGGAGTCTATTTCACCATTGTATTGTATAAGTGAAGTAAGTCCTACAGATTGCCAGAACTTATCAAAATACATGTTGAGATTTATATATTATACATTTGAAATGTTTTATTGAAATCAAGTGATAAGGTCATCAAGATTAAAATCATTGGTGTGTGTATATATATATATATATATATATATATATATATATATATATATATATATATATATATATATATATATATATATATACACACACACACATACATACAATGCAATGCCTCCTATTTTACCAGGTTTATGTTCATAGCATCCCTGAACACATTACATTCCCTACATATAGTAGCACACAGCATAATGGTGGCTCTATTGATCACTTTTTTTTCAGCCCTTCTTTGAGGCAAACTATTATTGCATGATAATTCTCAAAGATTAACCAGTTTCAGACAGAACAAACTCTTCACAAATTCCTCTTCATACAATTTTGAATTCCTCTCCACTGTCATAAAACACATTTCACAAATCCCAATTCAATGCTAAATCCTACCATTTGTCAGTCAAAGCTTTCACTTGATCCCCGATCATTTTCACACTCTCGAGTCCTAGTTTTATTTTAAGGACAAGCCTCTTTCCTTTAATAAAGTCACCATAGATGAGCTGTTAGGAATTTGACAATCTTCCATTTTTACTAAATCGCCAGTCCATCCCAGACAATGTTGAATGATCTCAGCTTCAATGTGCTGAGTGTCACTTCTTTGTAAAAGTTCTACATCACTATCATACATCTTCCAATATACACGAAAAACATACCAAGGGTGTCCTTGGTAGATGCTGGTGAAAATACTCTAGATACCTCAAGTGTTTTTTTTGTACATCACCCACGTTTCACATACAGTCAGGTTGACAAAAAAAAACAAAAAAACAAAAAAAAAACAACACAACACAACACAGACATAACATTATACACACACACAGTGTAAACCTTAACTTTGGTCTCAATAGAGATACCATGCTGAGATAACTATTTTTACAGCTTGCCAAATACTTACCTTATTAAATCAGAGATTTCATTGTATATATGTCATAAGGTACTGAAAAGTTCTTGGCCCAAAACAAAAAAAAAATATCTTTGGAAGAGCATATTGATGCACCTCAAGAACTTTTCAGCACACCCTCATACATATCTCAGTTTTACAAAATAAGACTGATAATGAATATAAATTAGCCAAATTTTCATCAATATAATTAATCAATTTGGATAACTAATTATGATTAGAAGTTTTACAGCATATTCAACATTCTGACTAATTACAGATGACAGTACACAGTTATCTGAAATGGCTATTTTCATAAAGTGACCAAGATAAGAAACGAACAAGTGTCTGGATAATTATGGCTGCAAACAGCTGAAAAAACTTAAAGTCAAATTTACAAGTATTGTAAGTGACAAAGTATAAACACTTATGATTATAGACAGACAAACCAAAGACTAATGAAGAGTAGTTTGCTTTCCAATACAGTTAGATAACAAAGAGATGTTAAATCACAATGTTTTTTTTTCAATTTGTATTTGCCTTATAATTGCTGCTAGAAAAATAAAAACTAAAAATGAATATATCATTTAACACCAGTTAACTTGAACATGACCTCATGTAAACAAAAAAAAAAAAAAAATTAAATAAATAAAACACTGTGCCAATCAATCTTTTTTTTTATGAAGCAGCTTGTCTTTAAAAACAATTTACATCACACACTGACAAGAGTTGATATGAGAGTGCGAACTTCTGTCAAAAGGGGAATTTAGATTTTTTTCCGTGATTCATAGCAGCCAATCCTATTAAAATAATTTTGACTTGATAACAGAAGCAGGTCATCTTAAATACTTTTTTTTCCGTCATGTATTTGCCATTTCGTGCAAATATTCAAACCAGTCTGTTATCCTGGAAAGGTAAATTGCAGTAATAACATTCGTTACTTTAATAAGAATAAAAGTGACTTAAAAAAAAAAAAAAAAAAAAAAAAAATTTTTAAATGCTTGTAATGTATCATTACTGAATTACAGCATGGTTAATTTCCACCATGCTCAGATCATTATAATTACAAATGACTTGAGTTTTTAATTTTTAAGAGTAAATACACACAAGTAAAAATAAAACTAGATTACAAATAAGATAACAAGCACCAATCAATGCAAAAATCTCTTAATATTGCAATATGAAAAATGACTAGATAAATTTAATTGCAATGTTTGTAAACATTTGAGACAAAGGATATATCTCTGTCATGGCTGACAATGGTAATAATGGCATTTCTCTTGCTACTGTCATAGCAAAGAAGGTAATTATGAGAAAGAGGTTCACTTCACACACTCTTCTTTGTTAACCAGGGTTAATTTGTTTTCACAAAAGAGTAACATTAGAGCAAATACCTTAAGAGAGGTAAACATCTTGTTTGTTTATCGATATAGATTATTATAAATATTTTTTATTAAAAAGACAAATAGAGACTGTATACAATATTTGCTTCAAAAAACCAGAGAGAGAGAAAAAAAAAGAAAGAAATATTTATAAAATTATTTTTCAAGTTGAAACACCCACAATATATATATATATATATATATATATATATATATATATATATATATATATATAAAAAAAAAAAGGAAAAGTTTATAAATTTAACATGTTTTCACTTTTATTAAATCTTCAGCAGAGGGAGAAAAAAGAAATTCTGATATTTTTTATTTTTGCATTTGATTTTCATTGGTTAAACAGACTTCATGTGCATTTGACTTATCAATCAGCATTTGTGTGTAAATATCATAATTCTAGTTTGTTTATATGGAATGTGTGTGTGATTTATGTTTGGTGGATGTCTGCACATTGATTTGGGGGATGTTTTTAGATAAATACTGGTGGTGGTAGATAAACAGATATTAGATTCTTAAAAAATGCATTTAATGTGTGTTTATAATCAGTAAAATATTTATCAAGGTTCCCTCAAAGCATTTGAGACAAATTAATTTCTTTTTTAATTAGGGTGGCATTTGTAAAAATCAAAGTTAATGGCCAGTCTTGTTTCTGTGTATTTCAATGATAGGTTCTAAGTTATTAAGTTTCTTTATTTATAGGATCCAAAGTATCTTCCAGTTTTCCAAAAAAAAAAAAAATGCCAGCATTCAAATGCATGGCCTTGGTGTTTACATTCAGGATAATCTTCTAATGACCAGGGAATTGTCTCTTTAGGCTGCTGACTATTCTTTCATGTGCTTCTGTCTTGTTACTGTCAGCTATCTTTTTCCTTTATTGCTCCCCCCTCTTCTCAAGACTGCAGTATATTAGACACAACAACTGACAGTATAGAAAAGGCACTTTCTCTCCATCCATCTGTGAACATCTTTGTTTTCAGCAACAAGTGGTTGAAACATTCTAAATCTACTGATGTTGCTGGTATACAGACATTAAATTTTCTCATTGCTCAATCCCTCACTCAAATTGTGGACTTCCCTATTAGTTTCCCTAGCCAAACTGAGTAACATGCTTCTCTATG